AAAAATCTTTCGGATGATCAGACATAGAGTTGACGATATCAGATCATCCGCACAATGTTGACGGCAAAGCTGTGGCATGCCACTTTCACAATATCGAAATCCTACATCAACCACCAAAGGCTGGCCTTTAATATTCAAACCCATTTTTCCATGAACGGTCAAATTCGGGCATTTTGAAGTGCTTGATCAAGGCGTATCGACATCGCTATGTAATAAGTTGGGGAAAAGCTCGGAGAGATTGCTTGTAAAACATTTATTTATGCCTATTACACCCGAACGAAGACAAAACTAATAGTCAAAGTACTGCCCTTCAACTTCAAGCACTTTTTGAACCATCTGTATACCCTACTTTTGTCAACTGTGTATCCGCCCTAAGCCAGATTAATGCGATCACTTGCCACCGTTATATTTATACCCACAGCCACTCGTGCATCATCAACAATCTAATTTGCTCGCTTGTTAACTCTATCTTGCAGTAAGTAGATAAATTAAATGCCAATCAACGCGGGAGAAGACGGGCTTTCAAATGAGCCCAAAAACGCAAAAAATCAACACTCAAAAAAGTCCAAACATTTTCTCAAAACTTTTTCCCCAATTTATTAAGATCAGCATTAGTCCTACGACTTAGGTAGGCCACAGATTCATTTCCAGGTTTTATTCCAATTTTGAACGGCCACTTTTCTTTGATATGGAGAAAGCACTTTGATAAACAAATAAGATAAACTAAACAACCACACATAATCTGGATGATCATCGTTTTCTTCCAAAAATAAGTGCCCAGTTGAGCTCTCAATCGATCTTCGAGGTGATAGATCGGCCGAATAGAATCAAAAGATATGCGGTATACTTGTAGTGACTTCGTGAATTAAATGAGATTACAATAATGCAGTGTATTTATTGAAATTCGAAGACTGTTTCTTAACATTTAATCTGAACGGAATCACTACTGGTATTCAAACGTTTATCATTCGAAAATATCAACAAATCAGAGAATATTCCTTGGAATCACAGCGTCACCTGAAAAGACTAGGGACAGATGTCTTAGTCAATTTCGTCTGGAAGCGTACTTCTTGTAAACAAAATGTAGGTTTTGATCTCGGTGATTATTTGATTTTTTTTAAGCAGTTGGCCGCGTACTGTGCCCAAATAAGTTGCCACTACTTGAAAAGAAAAGGGTTACTCTCAATCAATTGTGGTGATGTTCTACAGAGGAGTTTTCATTGGTGCTCTGTTTATTACTCTGGACTTGGACAACGTGGCCATACACCACCCTTCGTCACGACTGCGCAGTTGATGCGTATCGATCGGTTGAAACCGTCTCTTTCAGTAGGAGCTTCTTGTTCAGAATTGCATTGTGTATTACGAGTTGCTAGGCAACTATTATCACATTTCATTGAAGAGAAATTAAGCAAGCTTTACTTCAGTCAATGCAATGCCTAATACCAAAAAAAAAGAAGGAGAACTGAGTTGAGATATTCAGAAAACTGTTCAAGAATAATTGCTTCATTCTAACATCACATGTCTTGCATCTTCTCTGTAAACATATGATTATTATTCTGGCTTGACAAAAACCTCATGAATCGCTAACTCATATTCAGTTTGAAGTGAAATTGCGACATGAGCGCTGTAAAGGCCGTATGCTGATGGTGGAAGAAGTATTGCATACTAGTTAGCCCCTAACGTACCGTTCATTACAGCACGTGGAGCGTCAAAAACTATGGAGCACCCAGTTCAGTCTACATTTTTTACGTGACCCAAAAGACGTGTGGCTCGTTGAGTTTCTTGAGATTACTGTCTCATGCTTCATTTTCAAAAAAAAAAAATAAAATAAAATAAAAGAAAGAAATTTTAAGTCTGAATGAAGTCGCAATAAATTAGTCCCCCTCAAGGACATTCAGATTATATACGTACAATATAGTGTCCAGACGGAACGTTAAGTGTTAACGAAACTTGGTTAATTATGCGTTTATCGTAAGAGCTAATTTCATTAAATCAAAAACGATGTCCTCGATCAGTACAAAATTTCAAAAACAGGGAAGTTCCGTCCACTTTTATTCCGACTTTCCACATAAATTCTCTACAGCAAGTAACGATTACATCAAGATTCCAGGCTCTGCTGTACTGAGTGATTGACAGTATTAAACTAAGACAAGCGATTACTTCATTGAGCACAAATGAATAGTTTCCATTAATAGGCAATAATAAAGCTCTTTTACAGAGACTATTGTTGTGGTTTGTAATATTACAAAATTGCAGTCGTTCTATTTTGAAAAAAATCAGTGTTAAAAAAAACAACAAATGGTCGTACTTCAGGTTAGCTCTACTGAGTTAAGTGTACTTTTTTAGAGAAAACAAACCATCTAAAAAAACTCACCTATTTAGGTTGGCTTTAAATTTAGTGACATTTTTGTGGATGCTTGCTGTGTTTTCCTGCTGCTGAAAAGCGTCAATATCTCATTTATGTGAAAAGGTAAGCATGCTTATCAAGCGGTTTCATTTACAGCCTAAAAGATTTGTCATCTGGGCCTGCAGTTTTCGTGTGACCATCATCTGAGAAGCGGAATGTCGTAGCGTTGATATCATAAACTATAATTTCTTTGCATTACTACATTAGCATCAAACACAATTCTCATCACACCAAAACAGACGTACGAAGAGTGGGGCAGTGTAGTGACGCTCTTCATATTCCTCATAGTTTATCAGGTTTGAAACACCAAGAATGCTCCTGGGTCACACTCTCGGTGAAAGACTGCCAAGTAGGTCTTTGAATAGTGGATATGATGATACGTATATAGGCCAAAAGTATCCATTTAACATTATAGAAGGTAGGATGAGCTCATCGACTAACAGTCCAGCGGACATCCCGACGTATTTCAAAGGTATCGAGGAGATCGCTAAAGTGTTAAAAGTGAAGCTGTGGCATTCGGCATAAGGCATTTGCTTGTCATATTTTTTTAAAGGCATAGATCCAGTCACTGAGCAACGCTTGTGATTTAAAAAAACCACTTTTTCTTGTGAAGTCTGCTCTTATTTAGGTCAGTGAATTGATACAAGCTAGGAGACAAGGGATCCGAAAAGCGTAGGTTGATTGCTGGTGAAAAAGGAATGAGAAGGGTGAATTTGTTATCACAATGATGGCAAACCATCCCACTTGTGCATATAAGTTTGTGGTGTTTGAAGTCATATATTTGTGTGGGCTGTCACCTTTGATCACTCAACATAAATCAATATCGTCACAGTGTTAGCATAACAGGTGCTTTCAGTAATCTTCAGGAATAAGAGTTAAAGATTATATCGTCAGAAAGACTTACGCTTAGTAAAATCGCTGCAAGCGATGAAATCTAAGGCGAGAAGATCATGACATACTAGAGAAGATAAAAACCTCCCATAATTATGACTAAATATTACAGGCACTTTTAATGAAGTGCTAAGAGCATGTAATGTATGATGTATATTTGGAAACTGCTAAGGGGTAGATGTCGTCGACTGGTCGAATTTCTCCTTGCGGTATTGCTGAGTGTAAGATCCGTTCTTTGAGAATCCAACTGTCACACACTTTTTTGTCAAGATTGAACAGGTACATTCTAAGTGGCAAAGCTACAACAGGCATCGTTAGAATAGGTGAACTAATGAGAGGACTATTAAGATGAACGAAAGAATGAAACATGATCATTGAACAAATGCAAACAACTGCAGTAGTACAGTCTAAGTTCAAAACGTAGATGTGAATGCGAAGTATCACGCCATGATCTCTCTGCTATAGTTGAAAATCACTGCCATGACTCTAGGTACGTGTGAAGGACTTTGGATACATAACTCTATGTAGCATGAAAGCTGTCTAAGAGATGTACCATGAGAAAATGAAGGAAGAGATAAGATATCATGTTGCAGTCATGAAGTTATGAAAACTTCATGCTCATCAAGGAAATGACGGGCAGTAAAATAGCCGTATGCCAAATAGATCTTCCTGACATAAATATTGCCATAGTGTTGTGTAACGAAACGATTCCTTTCGCTGGGCAAAAATTTTTCACAGCAGTGTTAGCAATTATTGGAAAGCCTAAATCGTGGCTACTGCGCTACGTGATCTATATTCGGAAAAGCTTTTTTTGTAACGCTCTAGCAGAAAGGAAACATTTATGTTACACACACATAATTCTCGCAGAACAGAGTTCGTCCTCTAAACTATTAGTAATCATTCGATAGCGTAGGATTCAACGATTCCAACGCTGTGTTTATTTTCTGCAAAGACCGTGTCTCTGAAATGTAGCAAGAAAAACAATATTGATTCATATTCGTGAGCATGTATTGTCTGACAAGTCTACGGGTTGGAGTGGGGTGCAGGGGACTATCTGCAATTTCAGCACGGCCATTGAACGATGGCACTTCGACGGGTCACAAGTGAAGTGTAATTTTTGTCATTCAATTAGTATTTGTTTACCGGCTTTGAAAAAACTCTAAATAAAACGCATGGTTTTGGTACCACAAGATGTCCTCTACACGTTTATATGCTTTTCATTCTTCCAACGAAGTGATAGTAAAATTACGCAGCCCATGTAAATTATAATATTACTCTGGATTCTTTACTTTTGAAAAGGTTGTTCTTGGAAAACGAACACGTAGCGCAGTAGACAGAGATTTAGGTTTCTTAAGTATTACTGCAACTCTTACGAAAAGTCCCTGTACAGCGAAAGGGGTCCTTTCTTAACCGTCTAACGAAAATGAACCGAATTTTCAATATCTATAAAAACCAACAGGAAATCTGACGGTACAAGTAGCTCCATAGCATCGACATGTGTCGGAAGTTGTTTGATTTTTCGAGATGAAGTCTAATACAGCATGTCAGAAAATATAATTTTAGCAGACTGTTAGATTTTATTTTTGTTATATGAACACTTGGTTGAGAAATTTACGTTGTTCATCAAAAATGTAGGAGTAGCAAAGACTACTATGATATTATAAAAACATATTTGACAATGCTGAGTGTTATGCAAAGTCGCAGTCCCAAGCGGGAGTCTAACCCGTGTTTCACTCATACCGTGAATGCGCGTTACCGCTACGCCACAGAGGCCACTGATCCGCTACCATCACTATGGTAACTAATGCAGATAGAAGGGCGGAGTAGTGCAATAATTAGTGAACTTGTGTATTAGGCGGCAGGGTAAGAAAAGCGCGGCTGCGATCCTCCAGTTCCTCCACCACTTTCTTGTAATAATTAACTGAACGCATAGCAGTGTCCCAACTGTGCTAATTTGAAAACTGTAAGGAGAATCGTCTCGCTCGGCGTTCTACGACCTTCACAAGGAAGGCGAAATCGTAAGCAGGAGGCGAAGCAGCATGTGAAATGTTTGAGATCATGTTGGATTATGAATGTGAGGAAACAAACCGAATGCAACTTGTGCTGCGATCCACACAGTAATTGGTGATAGCGGGTTGTGTGAAAAGCTACGTCTAATTGTTCAACTGCAGTGTCGCACTCTATGATAAACATCCTCAACGAACTCCAAACAGGGGATATGATATGGTTTGGTAACACCGAGTTTTTTCGAACTCTCTTTGCGCACTCCTTGAATGCACATCACGCTATTTGAGTGTTTATCATAAAAGGATGAAAGGATAAAGCTCTCGGCGTTGATTAATTCTTAAGGGATGCGCCATGCATTCGACTTCAGTTTTTAACTTCGTTTGAGGTGATTGAATGCATATCTGGCCTTTACAATGACTCGCGGTGGCCTACCGCTAAACCGAGTCAGTGCTGCTTATCCTCCCAGACAAGTCTGAAACCTGTCTGGTACCAATTTACCGACCCCGGAGGGATGGATGGCTTGGTGAACCATGAGTGCGAGATCGAACCATTGATCTCGTGT